CCCGTCGTGGGAGGGAAGCATGGGCAAATGGCATGGGCTTGGGGGGCGGAACTGGAGCATCATGGGAGGGAACCATGGGCAAATGGCATGGGCTTGGGGGGCGGAACTGTGACCCGTCGTGGGAGGGAACCATGGGCAAATGGCATGGGCTTCGGGGTTGGAACTATAGCATCATGGGAGGGAAGCATTGGGTAGAAGCCACACTGGCCTTGCTGTTTGCCTGTGTGCCCCCCTAACCCACCCCCCTGGCTATGGCAGAAGCTGCTCAGGCCTTGCTCCTCCTCCCCTCTTTCGTTTGAGTTGCGAGTCAAGCGGTCTTCGTGAAGCCCCCTTGAGGTGCCCCTCCCTCCCTCCCTTGTTCTCCCAACACACTCTTGTCTGACTGCCCCCCCCAGTGGCCCCGGTGGCTGCTCCTTCTGCTGCCAGTCCCCCTCCTTCCGATTCTGGTGTCAGAGCTGCGAGGCCCCAAAACTTGCAGAGCAGCCACAGCACTTTAAAAAATCTTGCATCACAGCTGCCCCCCCCAGCCCCTGGGATTGCCCATCGCACGCTGTCCCCGCAGCACCATGTGTGTGGGCTATTTGTCCCGTACAGCCAAAGGCCCAGGACAAAGGGTGTCTGGGTGAATTGGCCGGACTGAAGGGCGACGGGCAGAGGGCCAAGGGCCCACTGGCCGTGGAGAATGGCTGCGGGAGGGCAGCGGAGGAGGAAAGCTGGCTGTAAGTGGGCTGAGGTGAGTGGCAGGGGGCGAAGGAGGCGTGGCCAAGGGTCCAGGCCTAAACCTCCCATTCCCTTCCTGATGGGGGCCTTTCAGTCCCTGAGTTACCACTCTGTGACCCTCACCCTGAAGGAGAAGGTGGCCAGTCACCCCCCGGGCTCCTTCGGTCCCTGAGCAGACACTGTGTGAGGCTCACACTGGGAGACTCTCCGGGGTCGCCCCGGGTGACCCTTTCAGTCCCTAGGGGAGCAGCCAGGGCGAATCACACTGGAGGAGACTACAGCCCCCCCCCCTCTGGAAGCCTCTCCCGGTCCCTGAGGATCCCCAACTGACCCTCATACTGGAGGGGAACCCCTGTGGCGTGAGCACGGGTGAGTTGATGGGGTGCATTTCTTGGGCGAAAGGCTGCCCTGCTGCTGAGGCCATCCTGACTCACAGAGGTGATGCCGAGGCACTCCTGACGGGCGTCTTCCAGCCCCTGAGTTACTACTCTGTGAAACTCACCCTGAATGAGTAGGCAGCCAGTCGGCCCCCAGGCTCCTTCGGTCTCTGAGCACACACTCTGTGAGACTCACCCTGGGAGGGGGACCCTTTCAGCCCCTGAGTGAGCAGCCAGGGCGAATCACACTGGAGGAGTCAACAGCGCTCAACTACAAGCCTCCTCCGGTGCCCTAGCTGAGTCTCAAACCGGAAGGGAATCCTTTTGGATCGCTTCTCTCCCAACTTCATACCCTGAGAAATAATGTCAGCTGCAGCCAGATCTCTTGGAACCAAAAGTAAACCTGGTGACGCACTTTAATACGAGGTATTGCCATTTCAATAAATTAATAACTAGTTTTTTTTGCTAAGGTGAGACATTATGTCCTTGAACTGGAAAATAAATCTGTGTGACCCTTTTAAATTCTAGATGTGGCCATTGAAACCCTGAGTAGATTTCTTGCCTGGCTTAATTTAGGCACGATGGTCGTTCTTAGAACCAGAAAGCATCTCAATGGCCCTTTTTAATGCTGGGTGTGCCGGTGATTGATAATAGATTTTATAGTTTTCTGCCTGGCGTAAATTTAGCCACAGCCATGGTTCCTAGAACCAGAAAGAAAACCTCAACCGCTCTTTTTAATGTCTGGTGTGGCCAGTGATTGATAAAAGATTTCTATTTGGAATAATTTTATCCACGGCTGTTTAAAATGTTTAAATGTTAAGTTATGTTTTGACTGATAAATGTTAAACATGACACACAGTATGGCGGTCACCTCAAGAATTTTGATTTCTTTTGTCACACACATTTGCCTTTTTGTTCCTGGAATTTCTGTTTGACATGTGTTTTATGTAATACAACTGAGTTTTACTCCTGATTTACTGTTGTGAAGTAGTTGTGATGCTTATGGTAGACAAGTTTTATCTTTTGCCCGTTTTTATGTATTCATTCTTATCACCATCTCTTCACCAAGAGAGATACCTGTTGTGATATTTATGTATTTGAACACTGAAGTTGTGTTTTCTTTCTTCTGAGAAAAATCTTTTGATGACAACTGTGGTTCCTTTTA